CCGCCGCCGCGGCCTGTAAATGCTCTTGTCAACAGCTCAGAGACGGCGCAACTGTTCTCAGACGCACACAGGGCCCGAGTACGTTGGGCGTCAATCTGATAGAGCGCGATCGGGCCGAAATCAATCGGTCTCGCCGGAGTCGGCCTCGCCGTCGACGCCTAACCATGGCCCTTCACTTCTCCTGCCTGCCCGAATAACCGGATAAAGCACAGGCGAAGAAGAGTTCTGCTTGCGCAGGGCTTGATGATGAGCAACCTACGATGCCATCCCGTGTGCCTCCCCTTTTGACAAGCAGAAAATCGGACTTCGCGATCTGAGGCAAAGCTTCAGGACCTGGAGAAGCGCCTGGCCGCCCTGGAGTCAGGCTAGGTGGACATGTTCGCAGGCTGAGAAGGCTTCAAGACAAAACTCGGATCTGCCTGCAATTTGGCATGTTCACTTTGAGCGGCCCGTTGACGCCCTTCTTTCCACCACGCCACCAGGTTTTCGCATCGTTTGATCGCAGATGGCGCGGCATAGGTTTCTGCAGGCAGTCACCTTTCTGTATGCGGCCCCATGTCCGAACTTGAGTGAGTGAGTGAGTGAGTGAGTGAGTGAGTGAGTGAGTGAGTGAGTGAGTGAGTGAGTGTTGAGTGAGTGAGTGAGTGAGTGAGTGAGTGAGTGAGTGAGTGAGTGAGTGAGTGAGTGAGTGAGTGAAGTGAGTGAGTGAGTGAGTGAGTGAGTGAGTGAGTGAGTGAGTGAGTGAGTGAGTGAGTGAGTGAGTGAGTGAGTGAGTGAGTGAGTGAGTGAGTGAGTGAGTGATGATGGTGAGTGAGTGAGTGAGTGAGTGAGTGAGTGAGTGAGTGAGTGAGTGAGTGAGTGAGTGAGTGAGGAGTGAGTGAGTGAAGTGGTGAGTGAGTGAGTGAGTGAGTGAGTGAGTGAGTGAGTGAGTGAGTGAGTGAGTGAGTGAGTCAGTGAGTGAGTGAGTGAGTGAGTGAGTGAGTGAGTGAGTGAGTGAGTGAGTGAGTGAGTGAGTGAGTGAGTGAGTGAGTGAGTGAGTGAGTGAGTGAGTGAGTGAGTGAGTGAGTGAGTGAGTGAGTGAGTGAGTGAGTGAGTGAGTGAGTGAGTGAGTGAGTGAGTGAGTGAGTGAGTGAGTGAGTGAGTGAGTGAGTGAGTGAGTGAGTGAGTGAGTGAGTGAGTGAGTGAGTGAGTGAGTGAGTGAGAGTGAGTGAGTGAGTGAGTGAGTGAGTGAGTGAGTGAGTGAGTGAGTGAGTGAGTGAGTGAGTGAGTGAGTGAGTGAGTGAGTGAGTGAGTGAGTGAGTGAGTGAGTGAGTGAGTGAGTGAGTGAGTGAGTGAGTGAGTGAGTGAGTGAGTGAGTGAGTGAGTGAGTGAGTGAGTGAGTGAGTGAGTGAGTGAGTGAGTGAGTGAGTGGAGTGAGTGAGTGAGTGAGTGAGTGAGTGAGTGAGTGAGTGAGTGAGTGAGTGAGTGAGTGAGTAGTGAGTGAGTGAGTGAGTGAGTGAGTGAGTGAGTGAGTGAGTGAGTGAGTGAGTGAGTGAGTGAGTGAGTGAGTGAGTGAGTGAGTGAGTGAGTGAGTGAGTGTGAGTGAGTGAGTGTGAGTGAGAGTGAGTGAGTGAGTGAGTGAGTGAGTGAGTGAGTGAGTGAGTGAGTGAGTGAGTGAGTCAGTGAGTGAGTGAGTGAGTGAGTGAGTGAGTGAGTGAGTGAGTGAGTGAGTGAGTGAGTGAGTGAGTGAGTGTGCGAGTGTGCGAGTGTGCGAGTGTGTGAGTGTGTGAGTGTGTGAGTGTGTGAGTGAGTGGTGGGTTCAAGCAATGCAGCCAGTTCATGTTACTCTGTTCTGGCTTCAGATTGTCCAGCACAGATACTGAACAACTTAAGGGTTTATAGAAGATATTTTTTGCGAGAATCATTATTTCTTCCCAGCAAGCCATTTCAATATGAACCAGATGCAACCACAACGAAGGAAATGCATGGCGCTTTGTCGGGAGGGTTTTGACCAGGTGATGATGCAGCACCGCGGAAGGCGGGCGGCGACGCCCAGGTCATGAAGAAGGCGTGAATGGCACAGCAGGGCAAGGGGAGCCAGGAACGGAGCGAGGCACTGAACAGGGCAAGCAAAACGAAAACAGGAGCAAGTGGAATGTGGGGCGCTGCTGCTGCAGCTGCTGCAGTTCTTTTTGTTTCTTGTTTGTTTTGTTCCGCTAAGCAAAACGTCGGATGCAGCCTCAATGTCGCATCGACAGTTGCTGCAAAGCAGCACCCAGTTTCAGATGTCTAAGTGTTCAAACTCTGAGGATTATGATGAGCATCTAGCACTTGGATACTCTAGACGCTTCGCCGTGCAAGGTGGCCACTCGGCTCCAAGACTTCGAGTCTCAGATCACAGCGCAGCTGTCCAACCTCCAGACCGACTTTGCAGCTCGGCATTGAGTCAGAAGGAAATCGGCGGCGTGGCTACAGTAGCTGTTACAAAAGGTGCGAAGGTTGTTTGGCTACTTAGCACAGTGACAGGCCCATGCAATGACAACAGCAGGTGAAGCATTCGCTTGCATGATGGAGGGACAGGCTGCAGCTGAGGACAAAAAGCTGAGCCATGTGAACCGCGGTGCCACTGCCACAAAGCCTGCCGACGGTGCTGGGGGCTCTGCTGGCCTCGACACCATGGCAGAGGAGTGGGCAAGGCTTTAGTTGAGAGTCCCAAGGCCACACTGCATGGTTCTTGGGACTGGTCACTTGGCGGGCAGGTTCTCAGTTGGGTGAGCCCCCAGTCACAGCTGCTTTTGCAGCTTTGCAGGACTTGGACCAGCTCAAGTACGACGTGGGGGAGCTGAAAGATCTGCTCGGCCCATCCGGCGCATTGAGGGGTTGTACAATGGCAAGCTGAGAAAGTGACCTACGCTCAAGCTATTGTAGCATGCTCGCTTTTTTCTGCTTGCAAACCTCTCTCACTCTCGCGGCATGTGAGACTGTATGGCCTATGTCAGGCAACAACAAAGGGGAAGTAAACCACATCCGCCGCATCGTTCTTGCCTGTGAGCGCGACATGGAGGACTGACAAGCTTCACCTTGGCTCTACATCCTGGAACTTAATGGTCACGCATGCAGTGCTGGCTGAGATGTAGAGGTGCCCGTTTCCGGCTTGGGGTGCGGGAAGCATGTGGCGGCTCCTAGAGCTCAGGACTTCACTGCTGCCATGGACGCCGTGAACGTGGACTTGGACGAGATGCGGGCCCGGCACTTGTAAAGCCGATGACAGTTGGTCTCAGGCAAAATGCCATGAGCATCTTGCAAGATTCGCTGACATTGACATGGAATATTGACTCAGCGTTTCACACCAAACTGCAGTATCCCTAGTGTTGTTTCGTCCTTCCGATTTTGATGCCAACTCTGAGGCCCGTGTGGATGCCACCCATTCCATCATCACCAGTCGCCAGCGAGTGGAGGCGGCCTGTGCTTTGTGCTTTCGGCCATATGACTCAAAGCAGACCAACTGTTCCAAAACTAACAGGCGGAAGGCAAACATCAAATTGCCATCTCAAGGTTTCTATGACAACCATTCGGCGAGGCGACCATGACAGCTGAGATCTCTACCATGCGCTTGGACATTGGCGACATCCAGGTGGGAGGTTTCTGGCTTGCGTTCTTTGGTTCAGAGCAGTCAGTCCCAGATTTCAATTCAGTGTTTGCGTACTCAGTCGGCTTGGGGAGGATTCATGTCCGCAACCCACTTGTTTGCAAGTACTGCACTTTGGGCAGGAAGCTTTGAAGAACCACGACAGCTGGATGGAAGATGTGTCCAACACCTTGCAGCAGATGCAAGAGAAGGAGGAAAATCTCACTGAGGACTGAGCTCAGTTGACAGGACACTATGTTTTGCTAGCTCCGTATGGTTACTACTTCGTGGGAAAGGCATTTCATGTGGTTTGGCAGGGAAGGATTTCGTTTGAGCTGTGGGCAGCTGTGACACAGGCCCAGGTACCATATTTTGAAACATGTGCACGCAGTTGTCGGGCAAGGACATCATTAATTTGAAGAACGAGATGAACACGAAGCTGGACACGAAGGCGGGGAGTGCCATCATTTGCGTTGCAGATGGGTTGGTCGGGTCAGGGGTGGGACGAGTCATAGGCTTTCGTGTTGTTTGGCCCGCAGCGTCCCGCGGGCTGTTCTGTGGCAGACATGGCTTAGCGCCGGCTTGTCATTCTCCCGCTCAGGTTGACAACGTTGCCTGGAAGGAAGCCAATGATGACCTGGATGCTGCCATCAAGACGGCACGCGTGTCACTTGAGTTGAGACAGCGGATTGGCTTCGCCCAACTGTCGGCACCTGAAACGCCTGACGGCCGTGCAGGTCCGGGACATGGTCTCCTCTCTGCGCCTGGATGTGGATGCCCGCCGGCGCAAGGCGAGGTCGGGCTTGCCATGTCCCAACAGCGCAGAGTAGCAGAGGAGCTCTTCACGGAACCTTGCATGGCTCGGATGCTTTTGCAGTGTGCTTCAAGCTAGGGCGAGGCAGCGAGTGGTTGGATAATTGAATATCAGGTGGATGAGATTCTGGCCACTATCCGCCATGACATCACTGCGGTGGAGACGAACCTGGAGGAGAGTATAGACTTGCGACCTTCGTTGGTGATTTGCTAATTTTTTGCATCGAATTATTGGGTTTTCAGCTTCCCTCAAATTTGGGCAATTCATGAATGGACACTGTCAGACATGGCTCATGATCTCTTGCCAAGAGCCAGCCGCAGATGATGAAGTTGTCAGATTGCCAGCGCTCCAAACTTGTCCGCCGTTCCAGGAGTCCAAGGCCAAGATCACCAGCGACACGGACCAAGCAGTGAATGCCCTCAATGGCCGCATTGACTTCACCAACAAGGATGCGTTTGGCTGCAAGACTACATGCTGACCATTCAATTGTTCGTTCTGCTGATCACGTATGTTGGCCTGATCATTGACCTGGCTTGGGTGTTCAACACGCTTGCGTGAAGGATGTGCACGTTTGGTCTAAGTGTCTTTCAACCCCCTGGCCCAAACGAGAAAGAGCGCTCTTGTGCCTGAAGGAGCAGTAGACATGCACACAACCCATGCCCAAAGGCAGACTCATGTCAATCCGTTCGCCTGGAACAGTGGGTCACAGCGTTTGAAGACCGCTAAGATCTCACAAGCGACGGCCCGTGTTTGGTTTCACGTGTGCTACGGACGAACGGACAAAGGAGAAACAGGCTTGAGATTCTCTGAGCGCAAGAAGCTGCAAGTGCGGCGCAAGGTATACCCACGGTCATGTCTTTCTGGGCAGCTTTCATTGCTTACATACACATTCAAAATATATTATGGGTGGTGAGTTTGGAACTGTGGGTTCCCGCGTTTGGCGCAAGCTTCGTGCTAGCCATGCGCAAAGGCGGCGAGAGCATCGTACAGCACACGCCTGCCATTGCTTCTTGCATGGCTCGCACAAACCGCACGAAAGCTTCTCATAAAAGGGCTAAGCTGATCAGGACTCTCTTCCACCGCATTTCCCTAGATTGCTGGACTGAAGAAGCAATCTGGGTGAGAAATGCACCTCAATTGTCCCATCTATTGCACCCAACCAAGCACATGGCCTAGTTCAAAAGACTTCCCAACAGGGCTGGGCAAAACTGGTAACCACTAGGCCATGGACCCATGCGAGAAACCTGAAGGATGTCCAAACCAACATTAGTTTGGCCAACCCTACTTATCAACATGTAAATGGTGAGTGACGCCATCCAGGCGCACCGTTCCACAGATCAACTCACCTTAGTCTTGCCCTTTGGCCCAACCGAGTGAATACATGTTCATACAGTTGCTCAAGAACTTCACCGCGCAAGCCATATTCAGGGTTGATGTTCCTGCTTGGTAAAACCTAAGTGCGCAATGGGTTTGTTACTCCCATGTCATGCCCTCCCCATCCCTCAGCACCCCAACACGCGAACATGCCGAGTATTGTTAATAGTTTTCTGTTTGCGAGATTGCCTGCCCCCATGCGTGAAACTCGCGGTGAAACATGTAGAGCCTGTCAGTAGGTGAGTGCCCTCAACCCTGTTCTGATACGGTTGCAATGGTTGCATGAGTGCGTACAAGACCAGTGCGCACTGGACCCTGTGCAATAGTGGGTTTCTTTTTGGCGTTCTAAAAGTGATACACATTTCACTGATTTTAGATTGTGTGTCCCAACGCGGCGCCAGGATCTGGCTGCAACGCAAGAGAGCCTCCACACCACGCAGAACTCTCTCAGCGATTGCTTCAACGAGGCTTCTGTTTGCCTCAGGGCCTAAGGGGGAGTGTTGAAGGTGAGCTTAAAGGATGCAGAAATCGATCCATGCAGCAGGGATGCATGGATGGATCACATTCGGCTTGCTGTGTTTTTCCTACCTCGCCGTTGAGCGATGCCTTGAGACCGTGAGCGACAGCCGAGCCTGGAAGATCTGCAGGTGGCGGTGGTGCGCTCCGACCTGGAGCGCAACGTGGCGGACACCGAGGCGCGCCTGAAGAACGACATCCGCCAGAAGCAGCCGCCTGGCGGCTGGAACTGGTGGCTGAGGGGCTCTGGACCCATCGCAAGAATTTGTGCCTTTTTCTGGTTCGACTCTCACAAACTGACGCGTTTTGTTTGTTTGTTTGTTTGTTTGCTTGTTTGCGTGTTTGCTTTGTTTTGTTTTGTTTTGTTTGTTTTTGTTTCATTTGTTTGCATGTTTGTGGGCTTCGAGCAGAAATCAAGTTGGGTTCATGTTCTTTCCCAGCAGCGGGAAGAGTCATCTCTGAAACGAGCGCAGCAAAAGTGCACAGCGAGCGCACATCGGCGCAAGAAAGTGCAAACAAGTGCAAACGAGCGCAAATCCAAAATATGGTACGGGGAAGGGGTTCCGACGGGCATGATTGCTGCCAACTCGAGCAATTTTTGTTGGATCGTGCATTCAATTGTAGAACAGGTTGTCACGAGCCGACATATTGTGTAGCAAACAATGATGTATCAACGTTGGCCGCAGGGACATTTCATTGCCAGAAAATCCTGCAGAGGAAGCACAGGTTGGCCGAGGATGTTCAGAGTTGGTTTCGTCAGAGTTCTTTGGGCCAGTTTAGAGTTGGGTTGGGCTTTGGCTTAGGATTGACCTTACAGATCGCCAGAGATGGCTCACAAAGTCGGATCGTCACCTCCCGGCGTTTTTTGAGGCAAGAGGCCTTCGAGAAGATCGGCGCCGTTGAGCAGCAGGCGCCCCGACAGCGAAGGCGATTCGCTTCCGCGGCAAGGGCTGGGTGATGTTCTCATCCTTCAAGAAAGCATTCCTTCAGTTTCTCAAGCGCATTGCTGGGAAGGCGCTTGGCTCAACCCCTTTTCGCTCGCTTTTGTGTGTTCCTTGTGTTTCGTGGTTGAATTTTTCAGGCGGAGCTGCGCAGTGCCGAAGCCTCTCGCCGCCTCGGAGCGCTGGATCTGCCGCTCGCTTAGGGGCCGAAGGGCCGAAGGAATCGGAACTGTGGCTTTTTAGCAACAAGAACATGAGAAATGAAAGAGTTGCATGAGCCAAATCCTTTGGTTGTTCGCACTTGTTTTTAATGTTTTTCTATTTTTTAAACCCGATTCGCTCTCTCTCTCTCTCTGACTCGTCGTGCGAGAGAGTGTCTTCAATTGCCACGCCATTCTTGACACGTCCTTGCTATATGATACCCACGCGCACTCCAGGGGTTGTACCCAACTGATACTGCTGCTTCAGTCAGTTGAGCATTGAAGCAGCACCCATCAGAATCCAGTTGTCGGCCGCGCAAAAGCGGTGACTGCGAAGTCATTGTCAACTCTTCAGCCAGTGCTTGTGCATGCCTCAAGGCGCATGAGCGGAGTGCAGGGCGGCCTGGGTGAGCACAAGCGAGCCCCTGGGCCTAATTTGGCATCACAGGAAAAACACCCTGAACGCCTTCTCATTCTTTCACCCTGCTTGGGGTTGGCTGTTTGCGCGGCAGTCACTGCTTGGTACTGAGTTCCACCCAGCCACGTAAGTTGCTGCATCGCTTGCAAAGGACATCCTGAAGCTCCGAGAGGAAGTGAACGGCCTCACAGTCAAGAGCGCTTCACACGAGGCCAGTGACCAAAGACGTGGATTTGACGATCTGTGTGTGGCTGGGGACAATCTGGTTTGACGAGGCGACGAGGCGGTGTTGCTGTAAAGCGGCTTTGCAACATGTAGCTTGCCAGGTGGACATTCAGAAGAACAGCGATGCAACACGCAAGATGGCCGCCTGGTTGCATTGCCAGCAGCTGGCGGAGGAACCCTTGGAGAGTGCAGCTTTTTCCTAGAATGGCAGATCTGATTGCACGACTGCCGTGGCTGTCATGGACAGGGCGAGATGCATAGGTTTCAGCTCCAGCCTGCAAGCCCCAAGCTGCATGTTCTCAGTTGGATGCTGAGCCATTTCTTTTTGTGAGACTCCCTGCACTCCAAGGAGAAGCAGCGCAACATGGACGAGCAGAACTGGAAGGCCCAGATGGATGCCGTGCACGATGTTCTGGACACCAAGGCCAGGGTCTCATCGGTGTGCAACGGTTGCAGCCCTGAGTCAAATAAAAGAAACAAGAGTAAAGTGGACCATGGCATCGTTGACTCTGCAAACTAAAAAGAGTGCGAGAGAGAGGGAAAACAAATGAATAATCAAAAGGTGAGCAAGGCCATGCATTTTCATTCATTGAATGTCATTGTGCGCCAAAGTATTTCCGAGAGACAGCAGCGCAGCATTCCCAAGAAGACGTGTAATAGCAACAGTCAAGTCACAGGAATCTGAACGATAGAATGCTTCGACTGGACACATGCCTAAACTTGGAGAAGATACTAGGTGAACAGATGTCCAAAAGAAGGATGCAAATCTAAACTGCCAAAGTGTTCTTCTGCTGCGCACGCTCTCACGTCGAGCAGCAGACGAGTTTGGTGTCAGGTCAACGAGAAGCCGTTCGAGGACTTGAAGCACTGCACTGCGGCCTTGACCAGGGCGCGATCGGTCGACTCGGTTCCGCTAGCCGACTCGCATCCGATTCGAGAGAAGCAGGCTTTGATCACTGGCGCCGGAAAGGGAATTCTGATTCTCAGTCTTGTCTCAAATACACCTTCGCGGCCTTGAATATTGTCTGATCCGGGCATCCTTCAGGATGCATTTAGATCTTGTCATTTACGTGCACACACTCCCAAGAGTTGCCATGAGCAGACACACAATCACCCCCTGCGGCCCCACGTTTGGCAGGGCTCGAGCCCCCTCCGCCGCCAGGGCGTGGTGAAGTTCGCGCAGGTGGTGGGCGTCTTCCCCGGGCCCAAGTTTGACGATGCGGAAGGCAGTCGCTGCAAGCCGATTTTCAGACAGACCCGCGGCATGGGGGCTGCGTTGCTGGGTGATCCCGCGGACAGAATCATGTAACATGGTCTAACATGGAAAGCGTTGCTTGGTCTAACATGGAAAGCATTTGTAGCCTCCAGAATTCGATGTGATCCTGTGGACAGGTGCGGATCAGGGGGAGGCAGATGTGGAGCTGCTGGGCTGGGAGGACAGCTTCGGTGCCGCTTGCAATGTGAAGATGTGTCGCTAGTCTTTGTCCATGTTGGTCCATGTTGGTCCATGTTGGTCCATGTTGGTCCATGTTGGTCCATGTTGGTCCATGTTGGTCCATGTTGGTCCATGTTGGTCCATGTTGGTCCATGTTGGTCCATGTTGGTCCATGTTGCTGGCCTTGGTGAATAGGCTTCTTCCTATTGGTGCGCACAGTCATTCCACAAGTTCTCAACCAGTATTTAGACCCGCCTGATCAAACGAACGCGCACAATGAGGGCCAGGTATCATTCTGCTATGCTCGTGCGGGGGTGGGGGGGTGGGGGGGGCCGCTCAGAGCTGCGACCAGCATCATTTGGGTGTGGGTCAAAATTAAACCACCACAGGACCGCAGGTTGTAGTCCAAGTGTCCATTTACCAGGGCTCCATTTTGGGTACATAATTTTTGAGCCACAGCCATTTGCCAGGAGTGCGCAGAGAACATGTCCTTCCGCGTGGACAAGGCCTGGCGCCAGCGCTGCTCCCAACGCTTCCGCAACATCCTGGACATGGTGGCCAAGAAGGCGGGAGGTCGGACGTGGAAGGTGCCTGTGGGGAGGTGGGGAGGTTTCACCTCAAGTGTACGCCAACGGCTGCCAAGATGCGTAGACTGGCACTGGAGTCCGGGTCTTGGCAAAGAGGCTGCTTGGGAGTCAGAGCAAAAATCAACAGCAAGGCTCTTGTGGTCCAGAGCGCTTGGCTCGTTTGTGTTTGCAGTTTGTGGTCCAACTGGATGACTGGAAGAGGTTTCTGAGAGGCGCCTTCGAGAGTTGACCCGTGCTTCAGAATGAAAGGTGACCGGTCAGAATGAAAGGGAAGCAGTCGCTCTGGATACCTTGCTCCCAAGTTTGGCAGAACTTGCTTACAGCACATTTGAAAGAGCTGTCAGTTTTCAAGGAGCACTCACAGAACCCAGCGTTTCTTTTCTGGCCACTCGCTCGTGATTTCCAGCCCATTTACCAGCAGGCCGACCACAGCGTGCTGCGCCTCCTGCAGATCTCGCAGCAGTTGCTCGGTTAGGCAGAGGCCTACTTGGCCGTGGGTCAAAACCAATGGGATCCCATTTTGGGGTAGGTGAATTCACCACCCATTTTAGAACCTATTTTGGTGGGGATTGGCATGTTCACCGGGGGTACGATTTGGATTTTGACCCATGGCCACTTCGCGAGGTTTTGAGCACCGATGTCAGCTTTCCTGCTAATCGCCCCATTCGAGGATGGAAGAGTGAATCGCCACCTTTTTGCAGTCGGACCCTTCCGCCCATAGATGCCCACCCCCACCCCCACCCCCACCCCCACACCCACCCCCACCCCCACCCCCACACCCACCCCCAAACCCACCCCCACCCCCACACCCCTTCCGTGGGAAAGGACATGATCTATGGGTGGAATTGGGCCGTGGCTTCTCCCAGCTCCCGAGTCCCGAGTCGGCGGCTTTTTTCCGGTCGAGGCCCTCGAGTTCCGCGTCCGAGGCACATCGAGTCGCAGCTGGAGCGCGTGAAGCACGAGCGCGAGCTTTGGCCGAAGCCTCGGCTGACGCGACCGGGAAGAATTCCCCCAGGTTGGCTCAGTTTCGGTGCCAAGCAAACACCGGGACAGGCTGCAGTAGGCCTTAACCCTCCAAATTCCAGATGTCAGACGCAGATTGCTTCTCTCTACTGTCTTGCTGATATCCGTTGCCTGTGTTCGCTACTTTCGCCGCAGGAAGGAGGTCGTGGAGCGTCGCCAGCAACAGCAGGGGTGCCTGGCAGATTGCCGCCAGGAGTCGGACAGTGTTTTCTTTTTCAATTTGGGGCGTTCTTCAAAGCATGGAAGCCGCGCTGAATATCAGTATGTGAGAATGTTAATCGTTGCACGGCGTTGCTCGCGATCACTTGAAGCTCTGAGTGCAGTATCTCGAAGATTGCCTCCAGCGCGTGTTGAAATCTGGTGAGTCGTGTAACGCGATTCAGGTGTGTCCTCAAGGAAGCTTTGGCCCCAAACAGCTTTTTCTATTTGGTTTGCCAAAAAAATGCAATTCAAAAAGATAAGCTCAACAAACAACACCCCAATCTGCATGTGGCTCGCAGCTTGAGGCCTTTGCAGCTGGCCCTGTCCATGAAGGAGCAGACGGCCACAGCCTCTTAAGGCCAGCGCCTGGGCGGGCGGGTCTTCGGCGTATCTCTTGTTATTTTCTGGGCTCGGAGAGCCCAAAGAGGGCAAACACGCACGGAAACCCACGACTTGGAGTTTTTGTCGCTCTTTTTTGGTCTGTCTTGGTCTTAGACCGCTTTGCAATTGACGGTCCCCTCAATCATTTCAGGTGCGGAGCACCTGCCACGACTCTGTTGAGCCTGTTGCCAAACGCCCTTCGCAGAGTTTCATCCAAGCGTATTGTTTTCATTGATATGCCGACCGGGTGTAAGTGGTGCGCTTGACAGTTCCCAAAATGATGGGAATCCAATACAAAAGAGTTATGACAGCCGGGATCCCTCAACCTCAATTTCCATGCTGAGCGAGGTACACAGCACCCGCACGGGTGGATGCATTGAGCAGCCTTGCCAACGTGCGTGAATCAGCGCGCGGCAAAAGAGCAACATCGGCCTGGCAGCGATCGGACCATCCGGGGGCCACGGATTGGGGCCCTGGGCTTGTGGCCACGGATTTCGAACGTTCAGATCGGCATTTGTGCGGTTCGAAGAATAGATTGCTGATGCCCTTTCCAGCATGTTCGTTTGTTTGCGCATTTCTGGGAGAGTTCTGCTTCGTAAAGGGTGTTTGGATGAGTGCCGTCAAGTCTGAGAGTACATTGGACCCTGGCGGCACCAAACAGTCCTTGCGTGGCTCAAGCCCAAGCCTCAGATCCTCGGTGCGAATTCCGTTCGAGGAAGGCATGGCGGAGTTGGAAGCCGCTCGGCCAAGCCAGGGGGACGGGAGGCCTCTCCCAGCCATCCGGTTCCCTAGACGTTTTAGATCTTCTTTTCGGGTTTTGTCGGTTTCCGACTTTCCCCCACGAAACGTCAGCTTGAGGCGAAGCTTCAGGACCTGGAGAAGCGGCTGGCCGCCCTGGAGTCAGGCCGGCTGGAGGTAGACATGTGCGCGAGCTCTCTCCGAACTTGTGGCATCTCAAGGCTTCCCAGTGCGCGGAGGCCCAACTTGGGGCTTTCTGTTTCTTTTGTTTTCTTGCTCCGTCGTTTCCCGTGGGGGTCTTCGTCCGTCTTTCGGGCGGCGTGTGTTGTTTTGGACCTTTTCAAGAATCACTCGCCCCTCATAGAGGGGCGTGTGTGTGTGCGGAGTGTCAGATTCACCCTGACACCAGCTTTTTTCATGCAGGGGGCGCGGGCAGCATTGAAGGGACCTGCGCCAACGAAGACGCCCTTCTTTGCTGGTGAAATCCAACAGGACGCTGTTGGACGTACCTGCAATTGTGATGTTTGTGAATGTCCTTTTGGCCCCCTCCCTGAACCGCCGTTGCTTCTTTTGTGCCCCTGTGAAAGTAGCTAAATGGCAGCCAAGTGTCTTGCGAGCCGAAAATGCACCCACTCGAAACTTATCGGTCGGACGGGCCAAGAGGAGGAGGACGAACGCGCGGGTCACGAAAAACAGGAAGAAGGGAGCGGGAGGAAGCAGAAGCCATCCCCGAAGAACGAGAAGACGGGCGCGCGGATGACGAAATCGAGAAACGAAAAAGCAAAACGTCCTATGATTAAGTGGCTGTCTTCCCTTTAGTGAAGCCTCGTGTCTGCTTAAATGTGAAATTCCGCTGGTCTATGATCAGAACGTTGAGGTCAAATTTTCCGGCAAGGCCGGCCCGGGGTCACACAATGGGTACACCCGAGGGTCCCCCGAGACGGGGTAGTCACACTTCAACTCCCGAAGGAGAGATTTCATCTTTCGACGTTTGGGGATGGCCTGGTTGTCTTCGCGTTGTTCACCTTTCTCCTCGTCGTCGTCTTCCTATCTGTCTACCTGTTCCTACCCCTCGCTTTCCTAACGCAGTTTGGCTTGACGTCTTCCTCCCCTTCTGTTGCTATTTCGTGTTCGTCCTCTTGGCCCCTCGCGAGGTTCGACGTCCTCTTCCTCGAGCCTTGGTCTTCATCCTCTGTGCCGGGATGCGTCGCCCAAAAAACGCATACTAACCTCTCCGCCCCCCTCCCCTTCCTTCTTTTGCCCTTTTGTTCCCTTGTCTTCTTCTCTTCGCTTCTCTTTTCTTTCCTCCCTCCGTCCCCCGGGCGGGCTGCGGCGCCCTAAATACGCATCTCTTTGTTTCGTTTCCCCCCTTTTTTGCTGTCTTTCTTCTTCTTTCTCTTTTCCCCTTGCCCGCTACATCCTGTTCTTCCTCTTCGCCCGTTGAGGGATGGCCTGTTCTTCTTGTCGGTCTTCAACTACGCGGTGTTCTTTGTCTTCAAGGTCTAGGAGGGTTTTCTGGACTGTTCGGGGTCTTTGCCCTTGTCGGGGACCCGAAGCTGGTTTTTCCTGGTTTTCGTGTTTTTTGGTTTTGCCCGCGGAGGCCCAACTTGGGGCTTCTGTTTCTTTTGTTTTCTTGCTCCGTTGTTTCCCGTTGGGGTCTTCGTCCGTCTTTCGGGCCGCGTGTGTTGTTTTGGACCCTTTCAAGAATTAGCCGCCCCTCATAGAGGGGCGTGTGTGTGCGGAGTGTCAGATTCACCTTGACACCAGCTTTTTTCATGCAGGGAGCGCGGGCAGCATTGAAGGGACCTGCGCCAACGAAGACGCCCTTCTTTGCTGGTGAAATCCAACGGGACGCTGTTGGACGTACCTGCAATTGTGATGTTTGTGAATGTCCTTTTGGTCCCCTCCCTGAACCGTCGTTGCTTCTCTTGTGCCCCTGTTAAAGTAGCTAACGGGCAGCCAAGTGTCTTGCGAGCCGAAAATCCACCCACTCTCCTTCGGGAGTTGAAAAGTGTGTGTTTGTGTGTGTGTGTGTGTTAAAAAGTGTGTGTGTGTGTGCTGTGTGTGTGTCTCTGTGTGTGTGTGTGTGTGTGTGTGTGTGTGTGTGTGTGTGTGTGTGTGTGTGTGTGTGTGTGTGTGTGTGTGTGTGTTTGTTTGTTTGTTTGTTTGTTTGTTTGTTTGTTTGTTTGTTTGTTTGTTTGTTTGTTTGGTTGTGTGTTAAAGTGTGTGCTGAGGTTTGGGGAAGCAACGGCAAAGCAATGGTTCAGCTGGCCCGAATTGCCATGCTTTGTCCAATTGTTGCAACGGACATGCACAAGTCCACGATGTGGTAGCGCGCAGTGTTACTTTTGCGTGGAATGATGGCAGGACAAAGATAGGTGTTCCAATGTCTTGTTTTGAAATTTTCGACGCTCAGCTTTTCTTGTAGCCCGAACTCTGCAGCTGACTTTGCAGAAAGCAAACCAGTTGCTTCGTCTAATTTCCTGTAAATGCGAACGGGCCTAACATATGTCCAAGTGCCCTGGACGATTGATCAAGTGCCAAGTTCTCTCCATGTTTGTTGAAGGATGATGTGTTCATTATGTATATATACATAGTATGTATATATATATGTATTATACCAAACATTTTCCAGTGACAGGCGATGACGCACCATCCCGGAAGGCGGGCGGTGACGCGCAGGTCATGAAGAAGGCGGAAGCTGCGGGGCGGCGGGGCGAGGGGTTTGGCACTTACCCCGGCTGTTGTTTATGGGATAAGTTCCCCCAAGTCGAGACTCGATATGCCAATGCGACCGATGCCCCAACAAGGCTTGAAGTCACGGCCGGGACTTGCCACTTAAGGAGCAAAGCTTGGATGATTCGTTCTTTGGCGTGTGAACGTTGAAGCGCACCGTGGCTTCAAGCTGCATCCTTCAGTTGTGAGAATAGGCAAACAATTGCTGGAGTCAACAGTTGGACAGAAACGATGCCAGGTTTGTGCTTAAGCACCGAGGTGTTGCCTCTTGCGGTGTCCTAGTGCTTGCTTTTCACTGTCTGGATCAGAAGCCCAAGAGCCACTGGAAGCGCAATTGCCAATCTGCCATGCGGAAGAAAGACGCGGAAGACGGAGCATCAATGAACCTTGGGACCCTCTGGGAAAGCCGCGAAGGGAGCTCTTAGCCCGCGAGGTGGCCACTCGTCTCCAAGACTTCGAGTCTCAGATCACGGCGCAGCTGTCAAACCTCCAGACAGACTTTGCAGCTCGGCACTTTCTTGTCGGGAGTCGATGCTTGCGGGGACCAACTCTGAGGTCATTTGCCTGACTAAGTGATACACAGATCCACGTCTTCAGACTGTCCCAGGTGGACAGAGTGACAGATGGATGGACAAACACCAGCTGAGGACAAGAAGCTGAGCCATGTGAACCGCGGTGCCACTGCCACAAAGCCTGCGGACGGGGCTGGGGGCTCTGCTGGCCTGGACACCATGGCAGAGGAGCGGGTCACTGGGGATGGCTGGACAGGCTGAAGTGACATGGCCATGGGGCACAACCTATGGCTCCATTTTCGGGTGGATGAGCATCCATTTGCCACCTATTTTGATGTTCACCAGGGGTACATGGTTTGACCCGCAGCCACATCTTGCTTTGATGAGCATAGCTTGTGGCAGGACTTGGACCAGCTCAAGTATGACGTGGGTGAGCTAAAAGACCTTCTCGGTCTATCTGGCAATTTGCGGGATTGCCACATGAACCCTGTACAACAAGCATGGAACAGCAACTTATGCAGATGCTAGTAGCTTTGTGAAAGCCACAATCGCAGCAGCTGCCATTGCCATGCTCACTTTCAGCTCGTATGAAAGGAGAGGAACCCAGCAGCTATCCAAGACCCTTAGAGGATGGAGAATACATCCTTCTGGACTTGTTGCTCCTTGACATTGTGCCGCGTCTGAGCCATGCAGGGCAAAAGGCTCAAACATCACATTGCTAGTTGCATGGAAGTAACGCACCGCTTGTTTACCTTGTTGTCGGACTTTGGGGCATGTCAGGATGCGCTTGCTGTGTGTTGTTTGCAGGATGCCTTAGATTTGGCCTCCCCCATAGTCCGCCAAATGGCAGGCAACAACAAGGGAGAAGTGAACCACATTCGCCGCATCGTTCTTGCTTGCGAGCGCGACATGGAGGACTTGCCTTTGGAATGGGGGAGCGTGGCGCTTTGCTTGGAATGCTAGCCTTGATTGTGGCATGATTGGTGTTGCTCTGGCGAGGGTGTTTGCACCGATTGTTGGATTAGCTGCTTCTTCACCCAATCCATGACCCGAGCAACCACTGTTCGGATATGAGATGCTTCAGCCTTGTCAGTGTGATGGAAACCGCGATAGCTGACAGGTGAGAAATATCTAATGTTGATATCTTACCATAATAATGCCAGCCAAGGAAGAGTGCAATTTGGCTGTGGGTCAACAATCGGGTGACCCCAAAATGGCTTGCCCTGGTAAATGGAACCAAAAACGAAAAACCTGCGGTCCAATTCCTGGTGTTTCTAATTTTGATCCATACCCATTTGACTTCAAAGCGCTTTTTGTCTGAAGCTCTTTCTCGCTCTTCACTCATTTAAGTCAGAGCTTAGACGGTCGGCCAGGCAGCTCCATTGCGCGTGTTGCGCTCGACGCCGAATGTGAGGACTTCACAGCCGCCATGGATGCTGTAAACGTGGACTTGGACGAGATGCGCGCCGCGCGCCCGGCGCTGGTGGTTTTGTGGTTCAGCGCTGCGGCGTTTGAGCCTTCCAATTCGGAACGCAGCAATGAGTTGATGTTCTTCCAAAGTCGGAACTCATCAATGAGTTGATTGTCTTGTTCCAAAAATCGGAACCCACCAATGAGTTGGTTTTCTTGTTCCCTCAAAAATCGGAACTCACCAATGAGTTGGTTGTCTTGTTTCCTCAAAAGCTCGCAGCTCAGCTACGCATCCCCAAATTGAGCGGGAATCATCCAAGGCTCGAGTGGATGCCACCCATTCCATCATCACCAGCCGCCAGCGAGTGGAGGTGCTGCGGTGGCTCATGGGGGCGTCAAACGCTGATGACCCATATGGTCATGAATTTACATAAGGACCCCCCTGGAAAGTGGTTGGTGGACCACCAATTCGGGTCCCTAATCAAAATTTTCATGCCCATCAAGGCAACTGCGTTTTCAATGGAACACGTTATGCCGCTTATGACCCTGGCCACGTCTGTAGTATGTGCAGAGACGTTGACGCCTCAGGGGAGGCAATTGCTTTGCCTCGCGCTTCGAGCTTCGCAGGCGACCATGACTGCTGAGATCTCTACCATGCGCCTGGACATTGGCGACATCCAGGCATGGGCCATCCGTGTGACTTGTGTCTCTCGCCTGGACATCCGCAAAGAAAAGCAACCGCACTGTACCGATGTTTCAAAGCATATGCTGCCTTGGCAGACATGCTATGGGGAAAGCAGGGGCTAGCCGAGAGTTCCCTCAGTGCCCAAGATGAGTCCGTGTTGTTTCTGCCCATGCAGGAAGCGTTGAAGAACCACGACAGCTGGATGGAGGATGTCTCCAACACTTTGCAGCAGATGCAGGAGAAGGAAGAGAATCTCACCGAGGACCGGAGACTCACAAGTGTGCTGAATTTGTGCAGTGAATCAGACATATGCTTTTGGCAAAGCATACAAGGCTGCTGTTGCAAGTCTGCAGGTCAAATGTTGCTGTCACAGATGCACTTTGTACCGAAAGAGTTTGCTTGAGGACATCATCAACTTGAAGAACGAGATGAACACGAAGCTGGACACGAAGGTGACTGGAGAGCTCTGATCAGTTTGCCTCGCGAGTCATGAGGCGACGTTGTCGTTCCGCAGGTTGACAACGTCGCCTGGAAGGAGGCCAATGATGACCTGGACGCCGCCATCAAGACCGCGCCGCGCTTATCCGAGCGCTGCTTCGCCTAGACGTCGCTATGGGTAAAAACAGCGGGCGATGCAAAGGGCGAGCGACTCAAACCTCTTCAGCTCTTCAGGGGAAGCTGTTTCTGTGCAGATTGCTTGCGCTATGCAGGTCCGCGACATGGTCTCCTCGCTCCGCCTGGATGTGGATGCCCGCCGCCGCAAGGCGAGGTCGGGCTTGTCAGCGAGAGATGAGCTGCCAACTTTTGCCCCGAAGTGTTTCAGGAAACTGTCTTGGCAGGGCTAGGATGACAGCAATGCTCAAAGTGCTATGGCAGCCTTTTGCGTACACGTGTTCAAAGCCAGGTTTGGATTGATGCGGTCCGGGTCTGGGTGCTTGTTTTGTTCTTCCTTTTTTGTTTCAGGTGGACGAGATCCTGGCAACAATCCGTCATGACATCACTGCTGTGGAGACCAACCTGGAGGAGTCAGATCCCATGCGGGTCAAAATTTTAAACCATCCAGATATGGCCAGCAGCTATTTCGTCCATGTTTCCATTTTGAGCGGCGGTCTTTTTACCCGCAAGCTAATTTAGTGGGGAGAGGGACATTATTATTGAAAATGTGCGCCGCGCCACACGCGCGGAAGCATGCGGAAGGCTCGCGGAAGGCTCGCGGAAGAGATTTGTTCGCGGAAGGTTTGCGGAAGCTTGGTGGCTGATATACAACTAAATGTTTCAGTGCGTGCATGGAAAAGCTCGGAGAAACAATTCCAGTAGAAGAAAGGTGTTGCTGCGTACAAGAAACGTAGCGCTTACTCGAAGAGCAGATGCCACCAGCAGCCAAGAAGGCCAAAACAGCCGGTGTACTTCGCGGAAGGTTTGCGGAAGCTTTGCGGAAGTGTTTGCAGGCAAGCGGCCAAGTAGCATGGGTAGCCCAATGGAGCCCAAGCCTACACAAGCTGCGGCGGAACACTACCTCACTTAAAATGACTTTCCTTTCCGCGCCAATGCTCGCGGAAGCAAAACTTGTAAACCATGCCCCGCGGAAGGTTTGCGGAAGCAAACAATTAATCACATGTGCCGCGGAAGTTCGCGGAAGGGACCTCTTGGCCCGCGGCAAGGATGCGGAAGGGTCCGCGGAAGCTTGAATAATGTCCAAGCAAGTTTGTAGGGAATAAAAACCAACGCCACCTAGATATGGACAGCAGCTATTTCGTCCATGTTTCCATTTGTCTCCTGGAAAAATCACTCCGTTTTGGGGTTACGCCCACCTCCCCCCCCCATTTTTGAGAAACCCACCACATGGCTTTCTTTTTGGTTCCTTCACCGTGCCTTGCCACGCGAGAGATCCAAATCAGTCGTCTCAGGAGTCCAAGGCCAAAATCACCAGTGACACAGACCAGGCCGTGAATGCACTGAATGGCCGCATCGACTTCACCAACAAGGAGCTGCCACTTCCACGGCGGAAGGGGGGGACCCCCCCACCCTTGGTCTCCCAAGTGGAGCGAAGCACTCGATTTATGTGTTGGAGCCTGCTATGGAGGCTAGCTCAGGCTCCACTTCAGTTCAGTTGCCACAAAGGCTTTGCAAGGTGATTTCCTGGATGCTGCGTCAGGCCGCTGGCAAATTGGATCTATCATTTCGGCGAACGGTCTACACTCTCCTTTTGGCGCAGGATCTCGCTGCTACCCAAGAAAGCCTTCACACCACTCAGAACTCTCTCAGCGACTGCTTCAACGAGGCTGGCACTTTCCATGTCCTTTGTGAGACGTGCGGAGAGGCACATCTTTGAACGCTGAAACCGGCAGTTGTGTCGACATTTCTTGGCTCACGGCGACCTGAGACGGAAGAACTCTTCAGTGCCAAAGTTCGTGGCATGTGCTGGCGCATGTCAAGACAGAGAGAGCCAATTTTGGTGAACGTCAGAAGGTCGACTCGGAACCCTCGTGCCGCCCACCGTTTTGGGGCGTAAAAAAGCGCAGCCTGCGTTTGGCAAAAAGGTGGCGGTGGTGCGCTCCGACTTGGAGCGCAACGTGGCGGACACGGAGGCGCGGCTGAAGAACGACATCCGGCAGAAGCAGCGCCCTGGCAGCGCAACCCTAGCTTTTTTAATCTTGAGCCACACCCAGATGAGTCACCATCAAAACCCGGCGAATTGGGAAAGGACAACTCCCAGTCGTTTTTTGGCGCCGGGGTTTGATGACTCAAATGCCACACGATTGCCGGTGCTTTGGTTGAGCTTGTTTTTTTGCTGCCGAGGCAAGAGGCCTTCGAGAAGATTGGAGCCGTGGAGCAGCAGGCGATGGGTCACTTTGTGCAAGCGCAATGCATACCCAACAAGTACCACCCGAGCCGGACATTGATCAATATGCCCCCCCAAAGAGCATGGGACACTTTTCGCCCATTTCGTGCCGGAAAGCCACGTCCTTCCCCATCTTCCCCCCCCTTTTTGCTTTTTGCATTTTTTCCGTTATTTCCCCTTTTTTTTATTTTTCCGGTGGTTTTCCTGGTCCCACCGGAGCTTCTCTGGATGTCATCTCATGGCGAGGCGGAGCTGCGCAGCGCGGAAGCCTCGCGGCGCCTGGGAGCCCTGGACCTGCGCGGCGCTCAGCTCAGCCGCTTCCCCCGGTCGATCTGCGGGGATTCGCTCGAGAGTTCGTTTTGCTTCGGGTTGGTCGCGAGTTTTTTTTTGGTTTTTATTGTGTGTGTGTGTGTTTAATGGCTATTAGTTGTTATTTGAATTCCATATTCCCCCATTCTTTGGTTGTGGTAGTGTTTTTTTCTATACCCATTTTTCCAGCATGCATATGCGTCACGCCCATGTACCACGGGTCCTTTGGCACACGGCCATGTCACGCCTTTTGTCGGGACACAAGCATGACATGCATCCAGAGAGTTGGACCCAAAGCCTTGAAGGCTGCGAAGCCGCCTGGAACGTACATTGTCAAATTGTTGAGCTCTCTTAAAACTCTTGAATTCAAAGCAGGAGCTTTGTGGCATCCACATGTCTCCTGCACTTGAACTGTAGAGTAGTTGGGAAGCTCTCTTGCGTTCCAATGCGTTCTAATGCTTTTTAGATCTCCATCAGCAATTTGCAAGTCAGAGCTCAGAAAGCTCGGCCAACTTGGCCGCCAGGTCGCCAAGTATTTCTTACATTGACTGAGGCGCATGAGCGGAGTGCAGGGCGGCCTGGGTGAGCACAAGCGAGCCCCTGGGCCTAATTTGGCACAGGAAAAAAACCCTGAACGCCTTCTCATTCTTTCACCCTGCTTGGGGTTGGCTGTCTGCGCGGCAGTCACTGCTTGGTACTGAGTTCCACCCAGTCACGTAAGTTGCTGCATCGCTTGCAAGGACATCCTGAAGCTCCGAGAGGAAGTGAACGGCCTCACAGTCAAGAGCGCTTCACACGAGGCCAGTGACCAAAGACGTGGATTGGACGATCTGTGTGTGTGTGTGGGGGGGGGGGGGACAATCTGGTTTGATGAGGCGACGAGGCGGTGTTGCTGTAAAGCGGCTTTGCAACATGTAGCTTGCCAGGTGGACATTCAGAAGAACAGCGATGCAACACGCAAGATGGCCGCCTGGCTGCATTGCCAGCAGCATGGCGGAGGAACCCTTGGAGAGTGCAGCTTTTCCCTAGAATGGCAGATCTGATTGTACGACTGCCCTGGTTGTCATGGACAGGCCGAGATGCATAGGTTAAGCTTCAGCCTTCAAGCCGCCAGCTGCATGTTCTCAGTTGGATGCCGAGCCATTTCTGTTTGTGTGACTGCCTGCACTCCAAGGAGAAGCAGCGAAACATGGACGAGCAGAACTGGAAGGCCCAGATGGACGCCGTGCACGATGTCCTGGACACCAAGGCCAGGGTCTCATCGGACGCGTGACATGTGAATCGAGAGGAGAGCTGAGGGAGCAGGCCGCATCTCCCATCTGAAGCTGTTGTTCCACATTGAGTGAATGGTGTGAGATGAGGAGGCGAGTGACCAAGAGAGCTTCAAGTTGCAACCAGAAGACATGAACGTAGGAAGGAAATCAAGGAGGAATAGACATGTAGGGATGGTTTTTATGCTCACCTGTGTTCACCCACCTCTATTGCTTGACGCGTCAATCATGTTGAGAGATTGGCCAAAATGCACGGTAAAGCTGCTTCCCTCCGTCCCTGACTCTTAAGTTGATTTGGCTGTTGCATGAGAATTCGACCTTCTCATTGCCCAGTCCAGGACCCAGCACAGGGAGACAACACAATGTGCTGATTCTTCATAGCATTGCAATTCGAAAAACGAGAAAGGTTAGGAGAAGACGAACAATACCAGGAGATCAACAAAGGAAGTGCAAGAACTGAGTACACAAAAGAGACAAGAGTAAAGTGGACAGTAGATCGGTAACATGTGACTGCAGAATCACAATTATTGATTCTGCGAACTAAAACAGAGTGCGAGAGAGAGAGGGGGAAGACAAAAGAAATTGCCATAAGGTGAGCACGGCCATGCATTCTGATGAAATGTCATTATTAGTATGAATTCTGCGAGATGTAACAGCATTCTCAAGAAGACGTCTAGTAGCAACAATTGATTCACAAGAATCTGAAGATGGACTGTTCAAGTGGAAACATCCCTAACGTTGGAGATGATACAGATGGACAGATGTCCAAGAGAAGGAGGCAGATGAACTAACTTCAGAAATCAGACAACTGCCAAAGTGTTCCGCACACTCTCACGTCGAGCAGCAGACCAGTTTGGTGTCAGGTCAACGAGAAGCCGTTCGAGGACTTGAAGCACTGCACTGCGGCCTTGACCAGGGCGCGGTCGGCCGACTGGGAAGGGTATGTTGGGTGCGCTAGAATCCTTTTTTTGCATCCGATCCGAGAGATGCAGGCTTTGATCACTGGCGCCGGAAAGGGCACTCTGCTTCTCTGTCTTGTCGGATGCACTCCCAAAGTCTTCCAATTTACGTGTACACTCCCAAAAGTTGGCCTGCGAGCTCGCTCTGCTATGAGCAGACACACAAATCACCACCTGTGGCCCACGTTTGGCGGTGCTTGAGCCCTCTCTGCCGCCAGGGCGTGGTGAAGTTCGCGCAGGTGGTAGGCGTCTTCCCTGGGCCCAAGTTTGACGATGCGGAAGGCGTGCATGGGAGATTTGGCTGTGGCTCAAAAAACCGGTACCAAAATGGAACCCTGGTTCTGTGGAAACATGGACCAAGACCTGCGTAACCCCCCCCTGTTTAATTTTGAGCCACAGCCATTCGCGGCTTCATTGGTTTCTTGCAGGTCGAGAAGAGTGAGCGCAACGGGGTTCGTTCCCGAATCTTCCTTGCTCCGTTTGTCTGATCTCAGCAACCACGATCCGTGCCAAGAAGCCAGGTGCGGATCAAGGGGAGGCGGATGTGGAGCTGCTGGGCTGGGAGGACGGATTGCGGCAACCGTCCTTGTTTGCGCGGAAACGGGTCCATGGAAGATGTTTTTGATGGTTGCCAGAGCGGCTTGCCTGTTTTTGTCAGCCCTTCTCTAGGTCTCAGTTGCCCAAAGCCGACCTCTTGACCTTTTGGTTTCCCTGATTTGGTCCATTTTTAGTAAAGGTCCCAAAAGGTTAACCTTTTACTTCCAGGTCCTTTGGGCAAGTGAGAGGTGCATCCGGATGGTTTGGGCCTCATTGGCCAGGAGTGTGCAGAGAACATGTCCTTCCGCGTGGACAAGGCCTGGCGCCAGCGCTGCTCCCAACGCTTCCGCAACATCCTGGACATGGTGGCCAAGAAGGCGGGAGGTCGGACGTTGAAGGTGCCTGTGGGTAGGTGGGTAGGTTTCACCTCAAGTGTACACCAACGGCTGCCAAGATGCGTAGACTTGCGGAATATTTGTGCTTTTTGTCAAGATTCATCATGGTCGGCGAGTCACCAGGCTGACCACAGCGTGCTGCGCCTCCTTCAGATCTCCCAGCAGCCACTTGGCTGCTATTTGGCTCTTGGAGCAAGAATTGAGCAGGAATAGACACGAATGACAGGCACATCGAGTCGCAGTTGGAGCGCGTGAAGCACGAGCGCGAGCTCTGGCCGAAGCCTTGGCTTCGGGCATAAGGTGATTCCAATGGCTCGAAATCCAAGACATCAACAGGAAGCAAACAGCCTGTCAGGCCCAAAATGGCTCATTCTGCTTGCTTGGCTGACTTCCCTTCCTCAGGAAGGAGGTCGTGGAGCGTCGCCAGCAACAGCCGGGGCAGCCAGTGGTCAGCCGTCGCACCCGCCACTGTTTCCAGGCAACTGTTCCAAGGACCATCTTGAAAGTAGCAGAATACTTGGTAAGTCCAAAGCAGTCATCCGCTTGTGCTTTGATGACATGTTTGGCTACCGGGTGGAATTCGGAGTAGCTGTTTGCTGCTTTGATGATTTCAAGCCCGCGTGAAACTTCGCCAAGGCCCCTGCAGCTTGCCTTGTCCATGAAGGAGCAGACAGCAACGCCAGGTTCGTGAGGCAGAGAAGGGGCATATGAGAGCTGTGTTACTTGAAGAGGGGCCAAAGGAGCCATCGCCCCCTGCTGCGGCGGTTTGGTTCCAGGGTGAAACTGAAACTCGGCGCGCGCGCGCGCTCACGTAGGAGCGGGGCCTCAGCAGAAAAATAGACAGAGCAAGAACGAAGCAACGCGGCCCCCGAGTTGGGTCTCCGCGGGCGAAACCTAACCAAACAATAAGAAAAACAGGGGCGCCAGAGTTTCGGGTCTCCGCGCGAAACACAGTCCTAAACAAGACCTAAACCTCGTAGACGAAGATCGACACGAAGACGTTTGGTGGAAGACGAGGAAATATTCCTGCAAAAGGGCAAACCGGAAGTACACGGACAAGCGGGTGAAGTCGAGGGCCAGGAATGAAAGACGAAGAACTTCAATCAAGGAGAGACAGTCGAGTTTATCGCGCGCACCGGCTTGCAAGCAGCTGTCACACAGGTGCAGGTGCGGGCCGTCCCTAGGTCACTCGCTGCGTGCGCCCAAGGATCCCTCAAATGCGGTGGTACACCCTTGGACTCCCGCTCCCGAGGGCAGAAGTCAAGGTCGAGGGAGGCAAATCGAGCAGCTTGCGTGCAATTCCAGAGTCGACTTCTCTCTAGTTACTTGAGCAGGGGCAAAGGGGGTCAAAAGGACCTTCAGAATCACAGATAGCAGCTACGTCAACGGAAGTGTGCTTTGAGCTCGGGCTGGACAAGTGGCTGGCACGTGGCGGTCTCGTTTCGGAATCGCGCCGGAGTATCGTTCTCAGCTCGGCGCAATGGCAGTACACCAAGCACACTTTGGCAGCTCAGCTCGAACGTCGAAGCTGTTAAGCGCCCCCGTAGCACACAAGCGGTCGCAACTTTTCAGTACACGTGCAGCACACGGGTCGTGCTCAGTCCCTTTCTAAAAGGTTAAAGTTAAGCCACAGGGATCCTTTGGGCGATCGTCAATATAATACACGCGTAACACATTATACGCCGCGTCTCTGCTTGTCTGACCACGCGCCTGCGCACTAGTGTCTGCATTTGTGCGCGCTCGCGTGCGCCGAGTTTCACACTGGAACCAACCTGCCGCGGCAGGAGGGGGGCGATGGTTCCTTTGGCGCGCATCGTCCAAGGAAGACCCGCATCATGGGAACGCTGCTTTTGTTCCCTTCCCCAAGCCAATTGAAGTGCCGTGCCAGCGCTCAAAAGAGAAAACTGCCAGCTGCGTACTGGCCCGTCCAATCGGATACGGTTCTGCCGTCTGTCATCGGATACTCTTAGACCCGTGAATCACGTACTCGCGACCCGCGCACTCATCGATGATTTTAGGGTCGGTCCAAGGTTGGTTTAGGGTTGGTTTAGGGTTGGTTAGGGTCGGTTTAGGGTCGGTTTAGGCTTGGTTTAAGCTTGGTTTAGGGTCAGTTTAGGGTGGGTTTAGGGTCGGTCTAGGGTTGGTTTAGGGTTGGTTTAGGGTTGGTTTAGGGTTGGTTTAGGTTGGTTTAGGGTGGGTTTAGGGTCGGTTTAGGGTCGGTTTAGGGTGGGTTTAGGTTGGTTTAGGCTTGGTTTAGGCTTGGTTTAGGCTTGGTTTAGGGTCGGTTTAGGGTGTTTAGGGTTGGTTTGGAGTTGGTTTAGGGTTGGTTTAGGGTCGGTTTAGGCTTGGTTTGGGGTTGGTTCAGGTTTGGTTTGGGGTTGGTTTAGGCTTGGTTTAGGGTGGGTTTAGGGTGGGTTTAGGGTCGGTCCAAGGTTGGTTTAGGGTTGGTTTAGGGTTGGTTTGGGTTTGGGTTAGGTTTGGTTTAGGGTTGGTTTAGGGTCGGTTTACGGTTGGTTTACGGTTGGTGTGGAGTTGGTTTAGGGTTGGTTTAGGGTCGGTTTAGGCTTGGTTTGGGGTTGGTTTAGGTTTGGTTTGGGGTTGGTTTAGGGTTGGTTTAGGTTTGGCTTAGGCTCGGTTTAGTCTTGGTTTAGGCTTGGTTTAGGGTGGGTTTAGGGTCGGTCCAAGGTTGGTTTAGGGTTAGTTTAGGGTCGGTTTAGGGTCGGTTTAGGCTTGGTTTAAGCTTGGTTTAGGGTCAGTTTAGGGTGGGTTTAGGGTCGGTCTAGGGTTGGTTTAGGGTTGGTTTAGGGTTGGTTTAGGGTTGGTTTAGGTTGGTTTAGGGTGGGTTTAGGGTCGGTTTAGGGTGGGTTTAGGCTTGGTTTAGGCTTGGTTTAGGCTTGGTTTAGGCTTGGTTTAGGGTCGGTTTAGGGTCGGTTTAGGGTGGGTTTAGGCTTGGTTTAGGGTCGGTTTAGGGTTGGTTTAGGGTTGGTTTGGGGTTGGTTTGGGTGGGTTTAGGCTCGGTTTAGGGTTGGTTTCGGGTCGGTTTAGGGTTGGTTTAGGGTTACTTTAGGGTCGGTTTAGGGTCGGTTTAGGCTTGGTTTGGGCTTGGTCTAGGGTCAGTTTAGGGTGGGTTTAGGGTCGGCCTAGGGTTGGTTTAGGGTTGGTTTAGGGTTGGTTTAGGGTCGGTTCAGGGTCGGTTTAGTGTTGGTTTCGGGTCGGTTTAGGGTTGGTTTAGGGTTGGTTTAGGGTTACTTTAGGGTCGGTTTAGGGTCGGTCAAAGCTTCCGTCAAAGCCCCGTCAAAACCTCCGTCAAAACCCCCGTCAAAACCCCCGTCAAAGCCTCCGTCAAAACCTCCGTCAAAACCTCCGTCAAAACCCCCGTCAAAACCTCCGTCAAAACCTCCGTCAAACCCCCGTCAAAACCTCCGTCAAAACCCCCGTCAAAGCCTCCGTCAAAACCTCCGTCAAAACCTCCGTCAATCAATACCCCCGTCAAAACCCCCGTCAAATCCCCCATCAAAACCCCCGTCAAAGCCTCCGTCAAAACTCCCGCCAAAACCTCCGTCAAAACCCCCGTCAAACCCCCGGCCAAACTTTACCTTTGTCCCCAGGGGGCAACTCTAGTTGTGGTGTGAAAGCCAGTTGGCAGTATCCGCTATAGTCTAGCTGGTTAGGATGCTTGGCTCTCACCCGAGGGGCTCGGGCTCAAGCCCCGGTGGCGGAATCTTTCACTGACAATGGCTGGTTGGTCATCTACTGGCAGGGAACGATCAGTTTCAACCCGGACGGCGTTTTGAGGGTTTTGACGGAGGTTTTGACGGAGGGTTTGCAGCTGTGCGGCCCGGGCGGAACCTGCCCCAAAGAGCCGTTTTCGCAAGGTTGTGCCCCATGGGCGGAACCTGCCAAAAAGACCCGTTTTGGCAAGGTTGCGCCCACTGGGTAAAAAACTTCCGCTGTCAAAACCTCCGTCAAAAATTCCGTCAAAACACCCGTCAGAGCCTCCGCCACAGCACCCGTCAACACCCTCCGGCCAAACCTCCGTCAAAACCCCCGTCAAAACCTCCGTCAAAACCCCCGTCAAAACCCCCGTCAAAGCCTCCGTCAAACCCCCGTCAAAACCCCCGTCAAACCCCCGTCCAAACTTTACCTTTCTCCTCAGGGGGCAACTCTAGTTGTGGTGTGAAAGCCAGTTGGCAGTATCCGATATAGTCTAGCTGGTTAGGATGCTTGGCTCTCACCCAAGGGGCTCGGGCTCAAGCCCTGGTGGCGGAGTCTTGGCCTCACTGACAATGAGCCCCGTCCAAACCCCCGTCAAAACCTCCGTCACAACCCCTGTCAACACCCCCGCTAAAACTCAGAGCCTTGCGCCAAAACCCCCGTCAGAGTCCCGTCCAACTCCCACCAAGACCTCCGTCAAAACACCTCAGCTTTGCTATGCCCCAGCTGGCAGGGAGAAAGTGTGCGATTGCAGGGTGGGGCGGTGTAGGATTGGCGTCTCATGTAGTTTGCGATTGTCGGTTAGGAGGAGTATCCGCTTGGACGGTCGAGTGTCTCTGATTGGGGGGTCACCCTCAAATGAAACCCAAGACGAACCGAGAGTTGCAGCTGTCGCCTGGGACCCATTGCAACATGAACTATAGCTTGCGTTTGTTGCCGCTGTCCTGCCTCTCTTTCTCCGCTTGCCTGTTTCTCCGCTTGGAGCAGGAACCAGAGATAGACGGAAGAGGAGTAGGCAGCAAAAGGAGCAAAACGAGCAAGAGCAGGGACAAGAAGAAAGAAAGGTAGCAGCCTTTCCTCTTGGCCTGCTTGACTTCTCCCTTGGGTAACTTACGCAAGTATAGATGCACAAACACCCGAACAAGTGGTTCAACCAGCATTGCCCGCGAAACGGCGAGGCGGAAGGCCGTGTTTGGAACAAGTAAGATTGGACAACCCTCGTATATATATATATATATATTAATATATATATATATGTACGTACGTATGTATGTATGTATGTAATGTATGTATGTATGTATGTATGTATGTAATGTAATGTAATGTAATGTAGTGTAGTGTAATGTAATGTAATGTAATGTAATGTAATGTAATTCAATGTAATGTAATGTAATGTAATGTAATGTAATGTAATGTAATGTAATGTAGTGTAGTGTAATGTAATGTAATGTAATGTAATGTAATGTAATGTCAATGTAATGTAATTCAATGTAATGTAATGTAATGTAATGTAATGTAATGTAATGTAATGTAATGTAATGTAATGTATGTAGTGTAGTGTAGTGTAGTGTACTGTATTGTAGTGTAATGTAATGTAATGTAATGTAATGTAATGTAATGTAATGTAATGTTATGTTATGTTATGTTATGTTATGTTATGTTATGTATGTATGTTTATGTTATGTTATGTTATGTTATGTTATGTTATGTTATGTTATGTTATGTTGTTATGTTATGTTATGTAATGTATTATGTAATGTATGTGTATGTATGTAATGTAATGTAATGTAATGTAATGTAATGTAATGTAATGTAATGTAATGTAATGTAATGTAATGTAATGTAATGTAATGTAATGTAATGTATGTATGTATGTATGTATGTATGTATGTATGTAATGTATGTATGTATGTATGTATGTATGTATGTATGTATGTATGTATGTAATGTATGTATGTATGTATGTATGTATGTATGTATGTAGTGTAATGTAAAGTGAATGTAATGTATATGTAATGTAATGTAATGTAATGTATGTAATGTATGTGTATGTAATGTAATGTAATGTAATGTAATGTAATGTATGTTATGTAATGTAATGTAATGTATGTATGTATGTATGTATGTATGTATGTATGTATGTATGTATGTATGTATGTATGTATGTATGTATGTATGTATGTATGTATGTATGTAATGTATGTATGTATGTATGTATGTATGTATGTATGTATGTATGTATGTATGTATGTATGTATGTATGTATGTATGTATGTATGTATGTATGTATGTATGTATGTATGTAATGTATGTATGTATGTATGTATGTATGTATGTATGTATGTATGTATGTATGTATGTATGTATGTATGTATGTATGTATGTATGTATGTATGTATGTATGTATGTATGTATGTATGTATGTATGTATGTATGTATGTATGTATGTATGTATGTATGTATGTATGTATGTAATGTAATGTAATGTAATGTAATGTAATGTAATGTAATGTATGTAATGTAATGTAATGTAATGTATGTATGTAATGTAATGTAATGTAATGTAATGTATGTATGTATGTATGTAATGTATGTATGTATGTATGTATGTATGTATGTATGTATGTATGTATGTATGTATGTATGTATGTAATGTATGTATGTAATGTATGTATGTAATGTAATGTAATGTAATGTAATGTAATGTAATGTAATGTAATGTAATGTAATGTAATGTATGTATGTATGTATGTATGTATGTATGTATGTATGTATGTATGTATGTATGTATGTATGTATGTATGTATGTATGTATGTATGTATGTATGTATGTATGTATGTATGTATGTATGTATGTATGTATGTATGTATGTATGTATGTATGTATGTATGTAATGTATGTATGTATGTAATGTAATGTATGTATGTAATGTAATGTAATGTAATGTAATGTAATGTAATGTAATGTAATGTAATGTAATGTAATGTATGTATGTATGTATGTATGTATGTATGTATGTATGTATGTATGTATGTATGTATGTATGTAATGTATGTATGTATGTATGTATGTATGTATGTATGTATGTATGTATGTATGTATGTATGTATGTATGTATGTATGTATGTATGTATGTATGTATGTATGTATGTATGTATGTATGTATGTATGTATGTATGTATGTATGTATGTATGTATGTATGTATGTATGTATGTATGTATGTATGTATGTATGTAGTATGTATGTATGTATGTATGTATGTATGTATGTATGTATGTATGTATGTATGTATGTATGTATGTATGTATGTATGTATGTATGTATGTATGTATGTATGTATGTATGTATGTATGTATGTATGTATGTATGTATGTAATGTATGTATGTAATAATGTAATGTAATGTAATGTAATGTAATGTAATGTAATGTAATGTAATGTAATGTAATGTAATGTAATGTAATGTAATGTAATGTAATGTATGTATGTTTGTTGGTTTGTTGGTTTGTTTGTTTGTTTGTTTGTTTGTATGTGTTGGGGTGTGGTGTTTGTGTGTGTGCGCGCGCTTGTGCGTGTGTGTATGTTTGGCCGTGGTTGCTTCTGGCCCCTGGCAGGTGTGAGGACTTCCTGAGTTGCCAAGCAGGAATCAGCTGCTTGAAACTCCTGCGAAAGTGTAGGGCCAGGTGAGGGGCGCACACACCGTACATGAGGCCAGTGGCACAAGGCACAATTGGCGCCTGATTCTGCAAGGTTGCAAGATCTCCGAACTATCTAGCAGCGACTTTTCAAGCTGCATCATGGCATATTAGGGCAAATTGGGATCAGACGGACAGCGATAGATTGGTTTGGCATCCTCAGGTGCTCTTATTTGGGACTTTGGAAAAGAAGACTTCAAGAGGGCTACAGTGGGGACGGTACTCTTGGCACATGACTTGAAGAGAGCAGAGATCAGAAGAAATGGACCGCTGCTGATCAACAGTGTAGAGCCTTCAGGTCACACATGCAAAACATGCCGCCTGGCTGCGATTCTGGCCGTACTGGCAATTCAGGAGTCCGCAAGTGATCACACAAAGGTCTTGGCAATAGTCCGAATGACCTGGTACTTTAGCCACTTGTCATCTTTGGACGCGTTGGCTCCTTGCAACGAGCCTCTGTTTCCAGAGATCTTTGACAGCTGCCACTGCTGTGCGTGAATCAGCGCGCGGAAATGACTGCTGAGTGTGTTTCTTGTGTGCTTTGCCCGATTTGCACATGCCTTCACACCCCTGAGATTTTGTTCCTGACTTGAGCAACTTGAGCATGCATTCTAGGGATCCGGACCTGCACGCCCCTTCAACAGGGATGATGCTTTTGATGGACTATGCTCCCTGCAAGTACTATGCTCCCGTGTTTCAGGGACGGTCCATAACCTCAAAGCAGCTTTCCATATCCGTGCCATATTCCCCGATTTGCTTCCTGGATCTCCAATCTCCCAACACTAAGCTAGAATCAGGAACCTATATTACCCGTTTTACTAAACTAGAATCAGGCAACTATGTTACCCTTTTGAATAAGTCTACAGACCAGAACGCTCATCCGATCTGCATTGTGTCCGGGGAGTGATTTGTACAAAACATGGCTTGCTCCAGCCAAGCAGCCAGTATTCGACTAAGCATCAAGAAAGCGAAAGGTGCTGCATGCTTCGAAGCGTGATGAATATGGAGCTTGTCATATCTTTCATGAGTTGATCAAAGCTTGGGGGCCAGGAATCCAGGAATGATGATCAACCTGCGGCTGTTGCGTCTGATCGAGATTTGTTGTGGCTGCTAGTGCTCAGACGCTGAGCAACATCTTATGGCGCCCTGCCAGCGCTGAAGTCAAGAGCGCGACTTGCCTGAAGATACCATCTTCTCATGATTGAAAGAAGGGCAGAAAGCATTGCCAGACACTGCAGCTGAAAGATCTCAGCTTTTTAATGAATACGAGACGACTGGTCGATGGGAGAGTGCAGCTTGTCCGCTCCCAAGGAGGTGATTTCCGAGCCTGAGCGCATCTCGAATCTGTCTCCAACTGTCTGGCGCGGAGACTCAGGGAGGGGAGGTATTCACCGGGGAGTGGCACTTGCCCAGGGGTGGTTTGCTTTTCTGTGGTTGCTGTTGCTCAGGAGTGATCCTGCTTTTCACGTTTTTACCAAGCTCACTCTCTAGCAAAGCTCATAGTGCTCATGCAATGTGTGCCATCTGATTTGGAGAAGGCATGTGTCTCAATTAGACTCTTTTCGAGTGTTGACATTAGGAATTCCTTGGATTGAATGAACTCTGAAAATTCGTTCGAACGGTTTCCAAGCTCATATTTGTGATTGTCACGTGCGTGCTGATTCCCTGAGGATGCGCGGCTGCACCTTATCTTCCCGGTGTCTGGGCAGGTACAGACCTTGGAAGCAGCTTGTTGCTATCGGATCACTTCTTCCACTTTCTTGGTGAGAGGAAGCGGACGTGCCAAATGCAAACATATTGAATCATGCCTTGTATCTCAGGTGTTGCTGACTCGAACAGCACATCATACTTTAGAGCCTCCGATTCACTCGGCCGACATTGGCCTCTCACTTTTCTGCTTCTTCCTCTCTCTCTCTCTCTCTTTTCCCTTCCCCCCTTTGTTCCCTCGTCCTCTCTCTCTCTCTCTCTCTCTCTCTCTCTCTCTCTCTCTCTCTCTCTCTCTCTGTCTCTCTCCTCTCTATGCCTCTCTCTCCCTGGTCGCTGCCTCTCTCTCCTCTCTCTCTCTCTCTCTGTCTCTCTCTTCTCTCTTTCTCTCTCTGTCTTTCTCTGTCTCTTTCTCTCTCTCTCTCTCTCTCTTTCTCCCTCTCTCTTTCTCTCTTTCTCGCTCTCTTTCTCGCTCTCTTTCTCGCTCTCTTTCTCGCTCTCTTTCTCGCTCTTTTTCTCGCTCTCTTTCTCGCTCTTTTTCTCGCTCTCTTTCTCGCTCTCTCTCACTCTCTCTGTCTCTCTCTCTCTCTCTTTCTTTCTCTCTGTGTGTCTCTCTCTGTCTCTCTCTCTCTCTCTCTGTCTCTTTGTCTCTCTATCTCTCTGTCTCTCTGTGTCTCTCTCTCTCTCTCTCTCTCTGTCTCTCTCTCTCTCTCTGTCTCTCTATCTCTCTGTCTCTCTGTGTCTCTCTTTCCCTTCCCCTTTCTCTCTCTCTCTCTTTCTCTTCTCTCTCTCTCTTATTCTCTCTCTCTCTCTCTGTCTCTCTCTTCTCTCTTTCTCTCTCTGTCTTTCTCTGTCTCTTTCTCTCTCTCTCTCTCTCTTTCTCCCTCTCTCTTTCTCTCTTTCTCGCTCTCTTTCTCGCTCTCTTTCTCGCTCTCTTTCTCGCTCTCTTTCTCGCTCTTTTTCTCGCTCTCTTTCTCGCTCTTTTTCTCGCTCTCTTTCTCGCTCTCTCTCACTCTCTCTGTCTCTCTCTCTCTCTCTTTCTTTCTCTCTGTGTGTCTCTCTCTGTCTCTCTCTCTCTCTCTCTGTCTCTTTGTCTCTCTATCTCTCTGTCTCTCTGTGTCTCTCTCTCTCTCTCTCTGTCTCTCTCTCTCTCTCTGTCTCTCTATCTCTCTGTCTCTCTGTGTCTCTCTTTCCCTTCCCCTTTCTCTCTCTCTCTCTTTCTCTTCTCTCTCTCTCTCTTATTCTCTCTCTCTCTCTCTCTCTTTCTGTTTGCATTGCAGTCAACAACACAGAGTTTTCCACATTTCAGCCAAAGGAGGCAGAACACCAACCAGCAAAGAGCCGGCAGGGGCATTCGAGCCTGGGACCCCTGGTTTGCCACACCGGCTCCCCGAGGACTTTTTTCAGTAGGACGTCACTCGGTACGTGGGGGAACCCCCCGCCTTACCCGGTATTTGGGGTGTCCTGGGGGGGGGGACTTGGGTGGGGGATTTATCCTCCACTCTTAGATGTCCAACACGCCGAGCAATGTCGGCGGACTAAGAGGTTAGCATTGTGGGGTTCCCAACTATGTATCAGCAATTTGACAAACCTTCGGGTTCGAATCTAGTTTGCCAAGTGATCCACAGCTGTGATGCTAAGCAGGCGCAGAACGCAACATGCGAAGCGGATGTGCTCTTTCCATCTCCCCATACAAGCGTCTTTTGCGTAATAATGTACCCCAGCGCATTGAGAGTGCCGGGAATTCGGCTTGCCAAAGTGCTGCGCTGTCCGCTCAGCTTCGTGGCAGAGTAGCCACTGAAGCCCGAAGTATGGGCGCTTGGAGTAGGCATCCTAAGAGAAAGCGGTAGATTACATTGCTTGCGTCCCAATGCGGGAAGTTAAGATGTGGCCATGGGTCAAAATCCCGTACCCCCTGTGAACATCCCAATCCCCACTAAAATAGACCAAAACGGGTAGTGCGCCTACCCCAAAATGGGATCCTATTGGCTCTGACCCACAGCCATGTCAGCATCTCCCGAGGTTACTGCTGTGCGCCCTCGCCAGTCGAGCCGGGGCTGCAGGACTTCCAGGCGCGATCGTGACGCGCAGGAGCCGAGAAGCTGATCTGAGGGTAGCTCAGAAGGGATGAAAACATTCGGAAATAGTTATCTCTTCTAAAGGCATGTGAAGACTGCAACCACTTCTTTTCCACGAAGCCATGAGGCTGGGGCTCGGACTTTCGAAACATGTTAGCCAACGAGTTGAGGAGTAAACATTGATCAAGACACGGCAGATCTAAGCGTAAAGTATTCTCAGCAGTTTTGGACTTAAGCCATTTGGGCGTGTAGCCTTGCCTTGCCCCTGATAGTGATGGCTAGAAGAGCTCCACATTTTCCTTCCATGAGACTCAAGAGACTGAGATTTGCGTCTAGGAAGTGTAGTTCAAGGGCAACGCAATGTGTTAGCATGAGGTTTGAGAGGCAAGCTTGGAACTCTTGGTGAATTATTGCGCTGCTTAGCTTTCCCCCCCTAGACCACGAAGCAGTTCCATCTGTCGCGCACAGCTCTCTCAATCAGATCAGTCAGAGCACAGCTTTCCCTCAGGGGTCCGTCGGCCTCTGGATGAGTTCCAGCTTAGACAGCTACAAAGCTGATCGGCTGTTTGGCGAGAGCCACACAAATAGAAACAACTCAAATTCAATTGCTGCCAGAGAAGCCGCCTTGCTTGTTGGTTCGACTCGTGCGCAGGCACACCAACTCTGCCCGTACCGTCATGCCTGAAGCTTGGGCAGACGAAATGGGGCACATGATTGCCACACCTCTGGGTTGTGTACCTACCAAAAGATGAAATTCAAAGGCTTCGCACTCACTCGCAGGTCCCCTTGCGCATTGAATTCATGGATGGAGTGTGCCAAGGTCCTGCGCAAGTCGAGCAGGGCATGGTTGCAGGCCAGACTTGCTTGGCAATGAGATGCTGCAATTCAGAGCGGGGCGTTTCTTTTTTTTCTCTTTTTCTCCTGCCCCAGGTGCCCAGTGGCGCCCTTTTTTCCTTTGGGGAAGGGTTCGCCTTTTAGAGTCAACCAAGAAAGGATGACCTTTTTTTTCCCGTGGCCACTGGGCCAATGGGCATTTGAGCTGCATTCGGGACAAGTTTATTGCAAAGTCGGGATCCAGCGCCATGCGCCCAGGTGATGATGGGAGCGGCCAAAGGCACTGGACGGGATGGGCAGAAACTCAAGACACAGGCCATTTGGCTGTGGGTCAAAACCAATAGGATCCCATTTTGGGGTAGGTGCACCACCCATTTTAGTCTATTTTAGTGGGGATTGGGATGTTCACTGGGGGTAGGGGCTTTAGACCCATGGCCACATACCCAAAGTAGACCAAGGTTCGTCGCATTTACATGGTTCTGGGTCGACCATTCTTGTCTTTTTCTCATGAGCGGGCGACTTAGTGCAGGCCATCGAGCCTTCTGCAGATGACATCGCCTAGACGCACCACCGCGCCCGTCCACGAGGAGTTGCATTGCGTTGCGTGGCGATTTGGGTTGACTCGTCTCTTGGCCGTGGGTCACAAATAGGACAACCCCAAGTTGGAGCCCATGAACTAGGCTTTTAGTTTGAGTGATCCAATTTACCAGGGTTTAATTTTTGCAGTGGTTGCATTTTTTGGAGCAGCCCATGGAGCCCAGGACCGAGAAACCCACGCCGCGCATGTGGTGGTTTGATTTGATTCCCACGCCTTGCGCGAGAACGCAGGATGCGGAACCAGAAGCTCAGGCGCCGGAAGGGCAGACCCTCCGTCGCTTGACTTCCGTTGGCGCTTAAGCCCACCAGGAAGAAAACGCAGTCCAGCAGTGATGGATTTCTTTTTTTTAACCAACCAGGGGAAAGTGAAAGGATAACTTTTTTTCCGGTATGGGGAAGTCGCATTTCTGGCAAAGGCGGGGCTTGGACTTGAAAGACTTGTGGCTGTTGGTCGCTGGAATTCGGAACTTGCCAGAGGGTTGTCCAGTGCACCACGTGCTGTTTAGAGCCAAGTCGCACGCATGAGAAAATTCACGATCCCAGAGTGGGGTGAAATCGTCTCCGTGCAGACTCCGGATCACAACCAAGGGCAACGCACCCAGTGGCAGCTTTCAGCAAGCTGGTCGCGCGTTGCTGAAGCGTGCATGTGCGTGTGTGTGAATTTTCTCTCAGTTTGTGAGCAGCACCTAGGGATTTTCCGGCGAGCGTTTCCGGCCAGTGCTCAATGCGCTCCAAGGCTCAGGATAGTGCGGCTGCTGTGGAAGTCTGGTTCCCAGAGTTTTTTTGGCACGACTTTGGCGAACTCCTTTGAGCAGATTTAAGGGCTGCCGTGCAGTGTTGCCGACCTGAAACGTCCGAGGGACGTTTCAGTCCAGAAGTGGGCAATTGGAATTGTCACGCCCAGGTAGGTAAATTCCGAGAGCGAATCGCGCGGGTGTCTAGTTGGCCATTTGCAACTCTAGGCCTGCAGGACTGAGGTGGACGAATAATCGTGCCAAACGTGTGTTTGGGTCTACACAGCCTCAAAGTTTGAAACGATTACTCTCGGCTTTTGACTCGGCAGTGTTTGGATTTCTAGCCAAGCAGTAGCCTGGCACTAAGAGACTTTCTTTGCGCACCTGCTTGCATCAATAGCGCGCTGCGCGCGCAAATGCCTGCCCGACACATGAAACGGAAACTCCTCGAAGTATTACTTTGCATTTTTTTCTATACTTGCCAGCTACTTTCGTCTAAAGCTAATTCCAAGTCCTTGTTCTCACGCCCCGCAGTCAACTGGCACAGACTACCGGGCCCCGATAGTCTTTTGTAGTCTGGAACTGTTCTCGTAGTTTTTTCTGAAGTCTTTTGGTAGTCATGTAGGCTGACAGTAGTCTTTGGCTTCGCGTTTTTGCAGTCTTCCTGTAGTTGTAGTCTTGCTGCGGTTCAGCTGGCCCCAGTCAACCGTGCCCCAATGAACTCAATCGGGCCCTAGTCAGCAGGCTGACCTCGGTCAGTTTATTGTAGTGTTTTGGCGTATTCTCCGAGTCGTCGTGCAGTCTGCTTGTAGGCATACTTTTGTTTTCTTTATGTAGTCTTGCCAGCTGTCATTTTGCAGAAGAATATATGTATGGATGTTTCTCAAGTAGTGCTCTGTTGGTTTCCCTTCAACACCACCGAAAAAGGGCATCACCATTTTCAGAAATCCCATTCAGCGTTGATCTTTGTCAACATCCTCCTCCTCCTCCTCATCATCATCATCATCAGTATTATTATCAGCAGCAAGTTCCTCAGATCCTCATCACTCATCATCGTCATCCTTATCATCATCCTTATCATCATCATCATCATCATCATCATCATCATCATCATCATCATCATCATCATCATCAGCGTCATCATCGTCATCGCCACCATCGCCACCATCGCCACCATCATCGCCATCATCGTCATCGTAGTCTTCATCATCATCATCATCAGCATCATCATCCTCATCATCATCATCATCATCGTCATCATTGCCATCCTCATCATCATCATTATCATCCTCATCCTCGTCATCGCAATCGTTGTCGTCCTTGTCGTCACTTGTCGTCATCATTGTCATCATTGTCATCATTGTCATCATTGTCATCATTGTCATCATTGTCATCACCGTCACCATTGTCATCACCGTCGTCACGGTCATCATCATCATCATCATCATCATCATCATCATCATCATCATCATCATCATCATCATCATCATCATCATCATCATTGCCATCGTCAGCATCGTCATTATCATTGTCATCCTCATCAACATCGTCATCGTCATCATCAACGTGATCATTGAGCTTCTGTTTTTATTTCACACTTCAAATATTTTAGGTGTGTGGCGTGAGGCCTTGACACCAGTGTTCACAAATGCAAGAGCTAGCAGGAGGTTAAGTGATTTGGGTTGACAGGTTTGCCCATTAATGCTTTTCTGTGTTCAAGCGTCAGACAAGTCCAGGGCGACAAAATTGGGTCATACGCTGAGACTAAACCCAAGCTCTGTGACCACTGTGAGGCGCCATCCTTGAACAGGAAGAGTTGGTAGATAAATTCAGGTTGCGCATTGAGCTCTTCCGACGGCTCGCAACTAGCCAGGATAGTTCCCAAGTCATGCCCATCGCATTCCATTGCCTTGCCTTGCTTTGCCGTGCCTTCCTTGCCTTGCCTTGCCTTGCCTTGCTTGAGGAATCCATATGCGACTGCTCTAGGCGGGTGTGCTGGTGCGCATTCTTTTGTGATGCCTGGCTTTTTCATCCTGGCAAGGGCAACTGTCAGACGCCAACATGCTGATCCTCCCCGTGGCAGCCGCGTTGAGCATCGTTTTCAGCTGCTCTGTGGTGGTCTTGGCCTGAGATTTGATTTTGGGCAGAGAGAGTCAGGGGCATTCAGGGTGCCCGGCGGCTGCTTGACCAGGTGTGCTTTGTGGTGGCCTTCCGTCCCAGACGTGGCAAGAACTTAGATTCCCAATTCGAGCCGGTGAGGCCGGGCTGCCCCAAACTCCCGTTGATTTTCTGACTCGAGTGGCCAGGCTGGGCCTGCCACCGGGCTACGGCTGCAAGGCTTTGCGGTCCAACTGCTGGTGCTGCACCTAGAGTCGGCGAGCGAGAGAGGGGAGCGAGTCGGCATGAGACGGCGTGGTGAGCCACCAAGGTAAGCGCCGGGATTTCAATGCTTTAGTTGGAAGAATGCACGACGACAAGCCAAGGCTCGGATGAGACAAGAGTACTTAGCCTTTCGATTGGGCAAGCA